GGGATTAACAGTCCAGCGATAATACCACCAGGCCATTACACTGTAGGGATTCTATTAAAAAGACAAAAGCCAGGGCCCCCACTGGGCCTGAATTTAAATCTGTTATGTCCTTGTGGGAAGAACAAGTCTCTCATTTACAGACTAACTGATTGACCACTCACCTTAAACTTTGCAAATGGGGGTACGGTTGCTTCGAATTGGGGATTTGTATTTACTAACAATAATCATGTGGACTGCTTTGAATTGGCTGAAGATTATGTGCTGGCATCTCAGGACTGGGATACTGGTAACCTTAGGATGATTGTGGAGGTGCCGGTGTTCGAATGGAGTGGACAAGGTCAGAAGTCATCTAACGAAGGAGCAGCACTCCAAAAGCTTGTGATTTCAAATAAATCTGTTGGACTATAACCTGGTGTTGTGTGACTTCTGATGGTGACCTTAGGAGGAAGAGGCAGTGAAGTGCAGGTGAGGATTATCAATTAGCCATGATCTCATTGGAAGATACAGCAGACTCAAATGGTCTGCTTCTGCTCTAAACAAGGAACAAAAACAAAGTTGCTGGAAAAGGTCAGCAGGTCTGGCAGCATCTGTGAAGGAAAAAACAGAGTTAACGTTTCGGGTCCGGAGACCCATCCTGCTGCTCTACATCTTTTGATCTTTTGAGAGGTCAAGGTAAATTATCCACTTGGTACATCTGGCTAAAGAGGGTTGTAATGCTTCAGCCCTTTCTTTTGCACTGATGTGATAGGGTCCTCTATGATTGAAGATGGGGATATTTGTGGAGCCTCTACCTCCTGTTAGTTATTTAATTGTCCACCACCATGCATATCTGGATGTAGCAGGACTGCAAAGCTGAGATGCAATCTGTTGTCTGTGCCTAGTCTGCATGGTGCACATTGCTGCAATGTTTAGTGGGCAAACATACTCTTGTGTTGTAACTTCAAATCTCAACACCTGATTATCAACACTTGCCTGGCACTGATCCTGACATACTCTTCATTGAACCAAGTTTGATCCCCTGGTTGACAGTATCAGTTAAACAGGGAATATTTTGAACATGAGGTTATAAATTGCAATTGAATACAGTTTGCATCATGGAGAGTAGTTTTGAGTTGTTCGGTCAGTATGAAATCTATCCCATTTCACATGTTAGCAGTGCCATACAATATGATGCAGGGTTTCCTTGGGATGAAGAAGGGTCTTTGTCTCCACAAGGATTATGCAGTGGCCATTCTTACCACTACTGTGATGGACTGAAACATGTAACAGGTGAATTGGTGAGGACAAGGTCAGGTATGTTTTTTGCTCTTGATAATTCCCTTACCACCTGACACAAACACAGTTTAGCAGCAACATCCTTTAGGATGTGGCCAACTCTCAATGCTGATGCTAACAAGCCACACTTGGTGATGGGAAATGAAGTCCTCCATCACAGAACATTGTGTGTTCTTGGCACCTCACTGCTTCCTCCACTTGTTGTTCATAATGGGAGAGTACTGATTCTAACATATGCTTATAATGTTCATTTATGCACATATATTTAGGATTTAATATAATTTTGCACAATCAGCTCCTCTTCAGTTCCTTGAAGATTTGCACTGTGGCTAATGTAATGAAACAGTGAGTATATTCCTCATATACTGAGTTAATATGTCAAAGGCTCAGTCTCGCTGACTGGTCACTGTACTGCTTCTGCTGATAGTGCAAGATGAGATTTATGCCTGTCAATTTATTGATGAGATGGGACCACAACTAATGTGAACACACTGGCACTCTGGAAGTTAGAGTTCTCCGTTTTCAGGTTCTTGATCATAAAAACACCTGTGGTGCCATAAATGAATCAGCAAAGTGCCTGTGACCAGAGAGCTATGAAGACAATTTGTAGAGTCAGCATTGAATGGATCAAGTTACCCTTATTCCCAGGAAATGCAGAATAGTACTGTTCATTTCCCTGTGTATCCACTGCTTAAAAAGCCATTGGGTGTGTTGAAAGAGTCATTTATAAAACAGAAATTTGATCCTTAAGTGTTGAACTTTCTTACACTACCCTCTGTCATCTCAGGTGGACAACGTTTCGAGCTTATGGCACCATAGCTCCAGTGTCATCTAGCTATTTGTTTCAACTTCACTAAAGAATTGTAGTGTCTAATGGCTATTGCATCGTGGTTCTTGGGATCTTACTGTGTGACAACTGTTTGTCCTGATTCCCCACATGATCACAGTGACTGCATTTTCAAACTAAAGACAGTAAAGTGCTTTGGGACATCACAAGGCAGGGAAATGTTGTTGTATAAATGCAAGTTCTTTCCTTTCATCATTCACCGCCTTGCTGAATTATTCAGCTGTATGCAATGTGATCCAGGGCTGCACGGAAGGGAAAGTGCTGAACTTACTCTCCAGCCTTTGCACGGATGCCATCTCCGTATCGTCTCCATTTGCCATCTCCTCCTCCTCAGTGCTGGAATCACTGGGTTCTGGTTCCGAATTACAACTCCTGTCCTCTTTAATGGCATCTGCGATTTTCTGCTGAATGGATTTGCACTTCCCTGTAACATCGAGGGACAGAGTGCCTGGGATTGGGGTGGGGGGTTTGGGGGTGAAGCCAGCCATCATTCACAGGTGAAGTATATAAACCAATTGGAATGGTGGGACCGGTGAGAGGTGGTCGGGGGTCGCAGTGGGTGGCAGCGGTGAGAATCGCAAATGGAATCACAAAAACAATGCAAAGGTGGAAATTAGAAATGAGAGCCAATACTTATTATGACAGAGAATACAAATCGTTCACCCGTACATCATCAAACAATGGCCCACTGGCCAACAACGAGAATTTCTAGTTACGTAGTGCCTTTAACAGAGTAAAACATCTCAAGGTGCTTACAACTGTGTTAGCAAACAACATTTCACAAGGAGCCACATAGGGAGATCGTAGCACAGGTGACCAAATCTTGGTTAATGATGTAGGTTTGAAGGAGCATCTTAAAGGAGGTGAAGAGGTGCAGGACACTGAAATGATACATGACAGCACTTAAATACATCAATACAGATGGTCATGCATCATCCACTGTAGGCACATGCAGCAATAAGAGAATGAGCAGCAGATCAATGCACTGATTTATACATATTTTCATAGTTTACTCAAGTTCCCACAATTTGAGGGACTAATTTCAAACAGTGAGTGATTAAAGGGCAGTTACTTTTGCTGCAAATTTGAATGGAATCTGACAGTATAGGAGACCATTTGGTCCACCGTGCTGCTGCTTTATCTTTGCTACCTAATTAGTACCTTTCTACATTTTCTTGCAATTTATTTCTCCCAGTGTTTCTCCAATTCCCTTTTGAAAGTGGATAGCAAGAAGCTTTTTCCCAGAGTGGGGGACTCAGTTACTAGGGGTCACGATTTCAAGGTGAGAGGGGAAAAATTTAAGGGAGATATGCGTGGAAAGTTCTTTATGCAGAGGGTGGTGGGTGCCTGGAATGCGTTGCCAGCGGAGGTGGTAGAGGCGGGCACGATAGCACCATTTAAAATGTATCTAGACAGATACATGAATGGGCAAGGAGCAGAAGGATATAGATCCTTGGAAAATAGGCGACAGGTTTAGATAGAGGATCTGGATCAGCGCAGGCTTGGAGGGCCGAAGGGCCTGTTCCTGTGCTGTAATTTTCTTTGTTCTTATGACTGAATGTGCTCCCACACATTCCAGATCCCAACAACTCACTGTGTAAAACAATCCCCCTTACCTCCCCTTCTGGGGCTTTTCTCGATTCCCTTCAATCTGCCTCCCTCTGCTCAATGACCCTCCTGCCCCTGGAAACACTTCCTCCTCATGTACTCGATCAGACTCTCTTCATGATGTTGAACACCTTGATTAAATCTCCCTGAACTTTCTCTGCTTTAAGGAGAACAATCCCAGCTTCTCCAGTTTCTCCACATTCACTGGAGTCCCTCATTCCTGCTGCCATTCCAGTAAATCTCCTCCACACCCTCTCGAAGACACTGCCATCCTTCCTAAAGAGTGGGGGCCAGAATCAGGCAAAATAATAATTCAACTGAGGTCTGGGCAATGATTTGTAACAGTTTAGAAATAACTTTTTCACTTGAGAGTATTATCCACAGCTTGCCAATGGAGAATGGTGATTAGGGTAGGGACAGACTCTGTTTGAATGTTTACCTGCCTCATCCCCATTCCACCCACATTGCCCTCACTTCATTCTCCGGTAACGTGCCATCTCATGTGCTGATTAATGTTGAAGGCTCCTATTTCAGTCAGGCTCCAATGCGAATTAGCTTCACCAGTAGATAAAGAGACACATCATTAGGAGGAAACAGGGCCCCACACCTCAGGATGAGAGACTGGCCTTGGAGGGGGCAGAGTAGATTCACCAGAATGATCCTAGGAAGAAAGGGTTAAATGATGAGGCTGGATTGTATAGACTAAGACTGTGTCCTCTTAAATATAGAAGACTAAAGGGTGATCTAACTGAGGTGCATATGGTGATTGAAGTTTAAGATTGAAACAATTTCCTCTGGTGGGGGAAAGGGCACAGGTCAAGGGGCAGAACCTTCAAATTGGAGCTAGGATGTCAGGAAGCACTTCCTCACACAAAAGGCAGTGCAAATCTTCAACTTTCTCCTGCAAAAGTCTGCAGATGTTGGGAGTCAATTGGAGCCATCAAGACTATGATCGACAAATTCTTGTTGGGTTTGGCTATTGGAGAAAAGGAGGTTAAATGGAATTCAGGTGCCGATTAGCCATCATCTAATTGAATGGTGTAGCATACTTGAGGGTCTGAATGATCTCCTCCTCTTCCTATTGCTCTTAGAAACGGGTCTGGGGAAGAATAACCTCAAGCTTGCAGGAATACTTTGCATCAAAAGTACTTTACCCAACCCTTTCGTTGTTCAGCCATGCTCTTTGTATGTTGTTCCTTTTTAGTTTAACATGAGTATGTTCTCATGTCACTCAATAATGAGAGCGCTTACATATTAAAAAGGCTGCATATCCACCCGAAGTTTACATTTATTGCTGCATCAGAAACAAGTACAATCAACTTTATATAAGACAATAAATTTATATGCATTAATTATCGCCACATTCGTACACACACACATACACAGTGCAGAACCCCCTTTATCCATTCCAATTCGCTTTCAATACCATGCCAGGGCCAGGTTTTGCAATGAAGTTTTGTTGAAGGTCTTTTTTCTGTTTTCCACCTTTCCTTCATGAAACAAATGAGACAGTTTGATCCTAAGCTGAACATGTTACAGTCACACCAATCTGTACAGCACTAGAATCTGGACAATCTGCACTTGTCTCTTCTTTCATTCATTCTCAGGATGTGGATGCACTGGTTAAAGCTGGTATTTATTGCCTGTACCCCTGGGAAAAGTGGGAAAACCTCCTGGCGTCTGTACTACTGAATATCATTAATGACTGGAGTCACATTAGGCCAGTCTGGTTAGAGTGGCAGCCTCTCTCTCCTGAACACCACTGCGGAATAGCCAGCCGGATCTTGATACAAAGAAAGCAATGGTGTTTGTGGTCATCTTGCCATGGTGCTAGTTAACCTTCACGTTACCAGATCATCTCAAACTCAATTCGCAGCTTGACCTGGTGAAATCTGAGCTGCCAGCCTTTGGCTCCATAACCATCACCAGATCAACCCCAATGGGATATCAAATTAAAACCTGCCATCTAGTTAACAGATAATGGAGGTTCGGCTCTCTAATCAAACGATGGGTGACAGCACCATCATTTACACACACATTGCATGAACACAAAACAAAAAAAAAATAATCAAACCATGAAAACAGAATCACCAATACAGGACAAACTGCACTGATGAAAAGAAAAACAAAACACATCAAGGAGAATACAACAAACAATGGCACAGTGCACCTGGTCTGGATACAGTCTCATACAGTAGTGTCAATGTGAATTGTAGCTGTGGCTATCTTATAGAAATCTAACAGTTTGAGTTGTATAATTTAAAAGCAAGGGCCCCACTTGCCCGATTTACAATGGCGCTGCTGTGTCTTTGTCATCCAGATGTTGAAACGCTGCTACAGACCAGCCTCTCTCACTTGGTATTCCTTGTTTATATTTGTGCAAATTCAAGATATAACTGTGGAATTCCAGACTGTTCCTCATTCCTTAAAACATTTATCCTTTAAATTCAAGCTTGTTGCTCCCTCTTCCCACTACTTAATTTGTCAGAACATTGTGGTTACCATGGTTTCTCAGTTAAGCTGAAGAGCTGTGGATGAGAGGTCCATCACAATAATTTTTAATTTACACATCGAGTGTCACAAAGAGGAGGGACTAGGGGCCATTTTCAGCAGGGCAAAGGAACATCCACTCAAACTCCTGAAGGGGTGTTTAAAGAAACAGGGGAGATCTTTAAAGGAAGTAGCAAGAGAGCATTTACAAAGGCCAGCTTCTCAGAGAGCAACAGCAGGATGGACAGAGAACTGGTGAGTGGAGGGAGATAGAGGGTATGGGGGAAAAGAGGTGGGAGGAGAGAGCATGGGGGAAAGGGTGGGGAGGGGAGAGAGCATAGAGATGGTGACAGAAAACAGAAGAGACAGACAGTGAAAGTAAATTAAAAATAACGAGGGAGGAAGAGATGGGAAAAGAGGGAGTGAAATGGGAATTCAGCAGCGTGGAGACAAAGAGGAATTTGAGAGTGGAAAGGAAATATGTGGGATAGACAGAATTGGGGAGAGAAAGAGGAGAAAGAATGGGAGACCGATGGGCAGAAAGAGGAATGGGGAAGTGAGGGGTAGGTAGGTAAAGAGGGACAGCAAGAGGAGGAGAAGGAAGATGAGCACGAGTGAGAGACAGGAGAGAGAAAGAGAGGAAAGGAGCAACATACAGGAGAGCTGGAGTGGGTAGGAGGAAAGACGGAAAGAACAGAGAAGAGAGCTAAAGGAAAGAGGAGATGCAAGTGAGGGGGAAGGGAGTGTGGGAGAGGGAGAGGGAGGGAGGAGAGAAGTAAACAAAGATTGAGGATCACAATGACTGAAATGTATACCTCAAACCTGGTTGCAGAATGAAGGCATTCCTGTGTTTAGTAATTCATGAGACAGGCAAAGCACATGCTTTGATTTGTTTCCATAGGACGTTTTTTCCTGCAACAGGTTGCTGGCCAGTCCCACAGGCTGTAAGGCCCACCTCTCCACCTGAGGCCTGGCTGACAAGGAGGCTCTCCCACTCTTATGTTCTACCATTTGTATGTGTCATAAGGATTTGCTGGTTGATATTTAAGTTTGGCCAAGCCTTACAGAGGGACTTGAACTTTGTATTTTGGCTGAGAGGCAGAGATGCTACCCACTGCACCACATGACTTCCCTCCAAATCAAGGCCCCAAATTTCAGAGCACTTATTTTTCTGTGAAACTGCAACTAAATGATAAGTCATGTGTTTTCCTCAAAATTGATCCTCGGTTTAGTGTGTGGAGACCCAATTGCTCAGACTAAACAGGATCTAAAATTGCAATAAGATGGCATCTACAGTGAGCAGGCATAATGGGTTACTGGGGGACTGAAGGACAGTTTGATGTTATAGTGTGTTAGTGGTGAGAACACAACTTTAAACCCATACTGTCTACTGGTTCTATTTTGATAAATTTGATAACCTGGGTGAAAAATAGTTTAATTCCTTAGTTGAGACAATAGAGAAATTAAGAAATCAGAACAAGATTCAATCATCTGGCCCCTTCAACCTGCTCTGCCAGTTAATATATTCCTGACCAATCTGAATGCGGCCCAAGCTTCATTTTCCTTCCTGTCTCCATTTGCCCTCGATCATCTTCTTGATCAAAAATCTGTCTAATGACCCTCAGAGAGAAGAAATTCCTCCTCATTTTCATTTTAAATATGAAACCCCTTATTTTGAAACGATGCCCCTAGTTATAAAGTCCAGGGAAGTTCAAACAAACGTTTTGTCTGTGAATTAGCTCCAGGAATATTCAGTTTTTGCTCAGTGTTAAACCCAGGGGGTTAAAACACAAGAACTGAAATTGCTCAAGAAAGGGTCACTGAAAGTGAAACATTAACTCTGCTTTCTCTCCAAAGATGCTGCCAAACTTGCTGGATTTCTGCAGCAATTTATGTTTTCCTTTTTAGATTTCCAGCTGTCAGTTGTTTGTTTTATTATTCAAGGGGTTATAAGTTGATTTTTATCAGCAGTGAGCAATAACTGGTAATGAATTGGTGCCTACTCTGCATCAAAGACCAGTTTATATCCTGTTAACTTCAAGGGAAAGCCTAGACAGGAGGCAGAAAGCAATACATAATCCGAGAATTCTTGCTGCTGTTTTGTAAAGTATGTGGAGACAACAGAGTGGCTGTAAACACAATCACAAGCATGATTGTTGCACTGTGGAAAAAGGAGGACATGGATTCCCTGACAGGGTGAGATGAAGGAGGTTCATATGGAACATAAATGAACCAATTGGGCCAAATGGTCTGTTTCTGTATTGTAATAATCAAGGACTGATGCACTTTCTATGAGATTCACCACAGCGCCTTATACAAACACTCAAAATTATTGGGTCATGTTCAGCTCAAATCTTTGCAAACACAATAGATCTGTTCTCCCATTAACGCACACACAGGGAAGACTAAACACTCCGTGCATCAATTTTAATTGACATGTTGTAACTGCATCTCTTCAGAGTTGGTTTTTCTGTGTTGGAAATGCAGACAAGGTCAACACTGCAACTAAAATGGAGCGGAGAGCTGGGACAGTACATGCATGTAGAAAGGCAGCACTCGGGAGTCTGCATTTACTCACCAACAGATCTCCCAGACACAGAGAGCTCCGCAGTGCACACGCTCACCTCACTACCTCTCAACGCTACGTCTTTGGAATGTCTGTCGTGAATTCCAACAGTTACTAAAGGTTCTTCATCTGTTTCTGCACCTTCCTTGTTGCTGTTCTCTGGATTTGCATTTGACTCCTTGTCAGCTTCAATTTCTTCATCCATTCCAACTTTTTCCTCAGGGCCTCTGCCTGCTGTCTGTGGTGACTGATCCTCTCCCTTTGAAGACCGGATACTTTGCTTCTCAGAATCTACTTCACCCTCAAGCAAAGCCTCTGCTCCTGTGACTTTTTTATCCTCCGTCCCATTGTTATTTACAGGTTTCACTTCACAACTCTCCTGCTCAGATTCTCCTGGAGCTGCTCCCAGATTTTTGGCAGCTGTGGGCTCACCCTCATCTTCAGAAAGGGTCAATTTTTCCTGTTCTTCATCATCAGTCTTCTCCCCTTCCAGTCTTTCAACATCAGATATTTCACTGCTTCTTGGGGAATAAGATGAACTTCGCGAAGACCCTTGTGATCGGGACATTTCCTCTGTTCAAGCAAACGTAGAAAAATATCACAAATCATTTAGTGCATTAAAGTCAAAAGTTCATATTTATATAGCTTCTTTCATTTGTTCATTGGATGTGGGCTTTGTTGGTATTTATCGCCCATCCTTAGTTTCCATAGAGAGGGTGGTGGTGCCTTCCTGAACTGCTGTAGTCTGTGTAGTGTACGAAAAAGCACATTGCTTGTTTTGGAGGGACTTCCAGAATTTTGACTGAAAAACACTAAAGGAATGGAATATTGCCAAGTCAGGATAGACCTTGATTTGGAAGGGAACTTGCCACCAGTGGCATTCCCACATGTAGCCTGCTCTTGTCCTTTTAGATGGTGGAGGTTTTGGAAGGTGCTGTCAAAGGAGCCTTGGTGAGTTGCTGCTGTGCATCTTGCAGATGGTACACACTGTTGCAATTATTATGAGGGAAGTGAACAACTAAAGTGGTTGATAGGGTGACAATCAAGTGAACTGCTTTATCTCTTGACATAATAAAACACCCCAAGATGATTCACAAAAGCATAAATCAGACTTAAGTTGACACCAAACAACATAGGATATATAAGCAAAACCAAAAAGTTAAAATGATGAAGGTTTACAATTTATTATTGTTAATTGGGAAGTTAGTTTCTAAAGTAGAAGTAAATTGGCTTTCGCTTATAGTTCTGAGAAAGTGACTCCCTTTTTAAAGATTAGAACTGTGAGCTAATAATATTATTTCTAAGAAGCCATCTGATTTAGACTAGCAAAATACCTGGGGACTTAACAGCTGACATGTTACTGGAATCGATAGAGGGGCCCTCTTGTGGTGCAGTGGTAGTCCCTATCTCTGGAACAGAAGGCCTGGGTTCAAGACCTACCTTCTCTAGAGGTGTGTAATAACATCTCCGAACAGGTTGATTAGAAAAACAGATTAAATAGTTAAGATCAATAGAAAAACAGATGGCCAGGAGCCTCAAGCAGATTTCAGCTGAGAAGAAAAGATTCCTACCAGTGGAAGGGCAGTTTGTTTGCTGAACTCTCCAAGGGAAAGTCAATGCATTAATCAGTGGGAACAGGCAGTAACATACAGAATCGTATCTGACAGAAGTCCAAAAGGCAATACTTGCAACCTCAACAATTCAGCAAGAAATTAAAGAGCTAAGTTAGGCGTGATACAACATTGGGGTTGAATATCTGTAAAGGATACTGCTAGGAAAAAGTGTTCATTTTTTTCTTTTCATTAAGTTCTTTTATAATTGTCATGCATAAGTATGGATTATCATTTGTGGAATATATTTATGTCCTTTTGTTGAAAGTACATCAACACCCTCATGTGAAAGTGTGAGAATGCCCATTACTGAAACCAAATTGCAAAAACTAAACTTGAAGACCCATCAATACAGATTTCACCATGGGATCAGATTTGTCCAGTATTACAATCGGTTGCAATCATGAAATAAGTAGATTTGCAGACATTTAGGGAGGGAATTCCAGAGTTTTGATCCAAGGCAGGTGAAGGTATAATAGCTAATGGGGGAGCAACTGAAATTGGGGAAGCTCATGAGACTAGAATGAGACAAGTGCAGATATCTTACAGGAAAGTGGGACTGGAAAATGGACAGGCAGAAGCATAATGGTAATGTCACTGCACTAGTGAGCTAGAGCTCCAGTTTAATGTTGTGGGGACATAGTCTGAATTCCACCAGGCAGGTAATGAAATTTAAGTTCAATTAAAAAAAGTTGGAATAAGTTAGCGACCATGTAACTGCTAATTAATTTTTAAAAATGTCCGGTTCACCAAAGTCCTGCAAACTTCTCTAATAGTAGAGATGGATCTGTAGGTCATGGTATGATTCAGAAGGTCAAAAGTTCAAGCATCATGCAAAAGGTCCTGAGCACAAAATCCAGGCTGGCACTCTCAATGCAGTATTGAAACAGTAATCTTTTAGTACGGACTCTCCAAAATTGCAGCACTCCATTACTACTGACAAAATGCTTCATTGAAACATACAGGATTCTTAATGACAGAGTAAATGCAGACAGGATGTTTCTTCTTATGGGAGAATCTGGGCTCAGAGGACATAGTCTCAGAACAAAGGAGTGCCCAATTTAAGGCTGAGATGTGGAGGAATTTCTTCTCTCAGAGGATTATGAATTTTTCGAACTCCTTGCTATAGAAAGCCCTTTAAGACTGAGAAAGATCAAGAGGGAAATCAAGGAAAATAGGGAAAGGGCTGGAAAGTGGACATGAAGAATGTCAGGTCAGCCATGATCCTATTGAATGGTGTCAGCAAATCACATGAGGGCATCCAACAGACAGCGCTGCTGAGAAGGATTCTGGGTAAAGTTGCCTCAGCCACTGTCCAGGAGCAAATAAGAGGAAGGCAAGCTACAGAAAGGCAGCTTTGCAGTTGAAGTGATGCTGGAGGTTTAAATGTAGGCTTAGTGAATACCGAGCTTCGGTGAGGAGGGCGAGCATCTGCGAGGTAAGGTGGTTGTAGGAGGAGCAAACTTATGCAGCAAGGAGAAGTAAAAGGAAGTTTAACGGTGAAGTCACAGGCAGCAGGTAAGTGGTGAGTATTTGTTCTTCTCTCTCATTTTCTCTTCGCTTAAGGGTTAAGTCATGGCAAAAGATCCCAAATCTGTGTCACGTTCCTCCTGTGCGATGTGGGAATTCAGGGACCATTCTGATGTTCCTGACTCCCTCACATGCAGGAAGTGTGTCCAGCTGCACCTCCAGTCTGACCACTAACAGCTCAGGAGCTGCAGGTGGATTCACTTTGGAGCATCCGCGAGGCTGAGGGAATCACAGATAGCATATTCAGTAAGTTGGTCACCCCACAGATAAACATTACTGAGGAAGGTAGGGCATGGGTGAGTAACACACTGAGGAAGAATAGGAAGGCAGTGCAGGTGTGCCCTGCAGTCATCTCCCTCCAAAACAGATATACCGTTTTGGAGATAGTAGGAACTGCAGATGCTGGAGAATCTGAGATAACAAGGTGTAGAGCTGGATGAACACAGCAGGCCAAGCAGCATTATAGGAGCAGGAAGGCTGACGTTTCGGGCCTAGACCCTTTTTCAGAAATCCGTTTTGGATACTGTTGGGGGAGATGGCTCACCAGGGGAAGGTGGCAGCAAACAGGTTCATGGTACTGTGACTGGCTCTGCTGCACAGCCAGGGGTGGAGGAATGGCACAGCTATTGTGCTAGGGGATTCAATGTAAGGGGGACAGATAGGCTTCTCTGCGGCTGCAAACGAGAGTCTAGGATGGTATGTTTCCTCCCTGTTGCAAGGTCAAGGATGACTCGGAGTGGCTGCAGGACATTCCGGGGGGGGGGGTTGGGGTGATCAACCAGCTGTTGAGGTGCATGTAGGCCGAACAATATGGGTTAAAAATGGGATGAGGTCCTACAAGTTGAATTTAGGGAGTTAGGAGTTAAACTAAAAAGTATAACCTCAAATCTAGTAATCTCAGGATTGCTACCAGTGCCATGTGTTAGCCAAAGCAGGAATAGCAGGGTAGCTGAGATGAACATGTGGCTTGAAGGATGGTGCAAGAGGGACGGATTCAAATTCCTGGGACATTGCAAACGGTTCTGGAGGAGCTGAATGGTCTATACCTGGGCAGGACTGGAACCATGTCCTTGGGGGTGTGTTTGCTAGTGCTGTTAGAGAGGGTTTAAACTAATATGGCAGGGGGATAGGAATCAATGCAGGAAGTCAGAGGGAAGTAAAAGTCGGGTAAAAGACAATAGTGGGAGTTGTGTACAGACCACGAAACAGTAGTTGAGAGGTTGGGGACTGTATCAAACAGGAAATCAGAGATACATGCAGTAAGGGTACAGCAGTTATTATGGGTGACTTCAGTCTAAATATTGATTGAATTAACCAAACTGGTAGCAATGCGATGGAGGAGGATTTCCTGGAATGTTTGAGGGATGGTTTCCTTGACCAATATGTCCAGGAACCAACTAGAGAGCAAGCCATCCTAAACTAGGTATTGTGTCACACAAGAGGATTAATTAACAACATTGTGGTGTGAGATCCTTTGGGGAAGAGAGTGACCATAATATGGTAGAATTCTTCATTAAGATGGAGAATGACACAAGTAAATATGAAACTAGGGTCCTGGATTTAAAGAAAGCTAACTTTGATGATGGACGGGCAATGGCAGACATTTAAAGAACACACGGATGAACTTCAACAATTATACATCCCTGTCTGGTGTAACAGTAAAACAGGGAAGGTGGCTCAATCATGGCTAACAAGGGAAATCAGGAACAGTGTTAACGCCAAAGAGGAGGCATAATAAATTGGCCAGAAATAGCAGCAAACTCAGGGACTGGGAAAAATTTAAAATTCAGCAGAAAAGGACAAACGGTTTAATTCGGAAAGGGAAACTAGAATATGAAAGTGAGTTTGTGGAAAACATAAAAACTGACTGCAAAAGCTTCTATAGATATGAAGAAACAAAGACTGGTAAAGACAAATGTAGGTCCACTGCAGTTAGAATCAGGTGAATTCATAATGGACAACGAAGAGATGACAGACCAGTTGAACAAATACTTTGGATCCATCTTCACTAAGACGGATACAAATAATCTTCAAGAAATGCTAGGGGAAAGAGGGTCAAGCACGAAGGAGGAACTGAAGAAATCCTTATTAGTTAGGAAATGGTACTGGGGGAAATTGATGGGATTAAAACCCAAAGAGTCCCAGGGCCTGATGCCCTGCATCGCAGAGTACTTTAGGAAGTGACCCTGGAAATAGTGGATGCATTAGTGATAAATTTTCCAGCATTCTGTAGACTCTGGGAGAATTCCAATGGACTGGAGGACAGCTAATGTAACTCTGCTCTTTCAAAAAACAGGGAGAGAGAAAATGGGGAATTACAGGCTGGTTAGCCTGACATCGGTTGTGGAGGTGGGGTGGTGGGGTGGGGGGTGGCGCGGTGGTGCCGAAGTCAATCATTAAGGATGCAATAAATGAGCATTTGGAAAGCGGTGACAGAATCAGTCCTCATCAGCATGGATTTGCTAAAGGAAAATCATGCTCGACAAATCTTCTGGAATTTTTTGAGGATGTGACTAGTAAGAGTAGACAATAGTGAATCAGTCGATGTTGTGTATCTGGACTTCCGAAAGGCTTTTGACAAGGTTCCATACAAGAGACAGCAAGGTGCAGGGCTGGATGAACACAGCAGGCCAAGCAGCATCATAGGAGCTCCAGCATCTGCAGTTCTTACTATCTCTGATTCCATACAAGAGGTTAGTAAGGAAAATTAAAGCTGATGATAGCGGAAGTAATGTATTGGCACGGATAGAGAACTGGTTGGCAGACAGGGAGCAGAGAGTTGGAATAAATGGGACCTTTTCAGAGTGGCAGGCAGTGAAGAGTGCGATGCCGCAGGGTTCAGTGCTGGGACCCCAGCTGTTCACAATATACATTAACAATTTGTACAAAGGAATTCAATGCCATATCCCCAAATCTGCAGATGATATTAAACTGGGTGGCAGTGTGTGCTGTGGGGAGGAAGGCAAGAGGCTGCAGGGTTAATTGGACAAGCTGGCTAAGTGGGCAAATACAATATAATGTAGAATAATGAGAGGTTATCCACTTTGGTCACAAAACAGGAAGGCCGATTATTATCTGAATGGTGACAGTTTAGGAAAAGGTGAGGGTGTCATGGTGGAACTGTCGCTGAAGGTTGACATGCAGGTGCAGCAGGCAGTGAGGAAAGCTAATGGCATGTTGGCCTTCATAGTGAGAGCATGAGGGTATTGGTATAGGGATGTCTTGGTGCAGTTATACAGGGCCTTGGTGAGGCCACACCTTGAGTATTGTTGCAATTTTGGTCTCCTGGTCTGAGGAAGGGCATCCTTGCTTGAGGGACTCCCAGGATGGCAGGACTGACATATGATAAAAGACTGGATCGACTAGGCTTGGATTCGCTGGAATTTAGAAGAAGGGGTAATAAAATAACAAATAAGGGGTAAGCCATTCCGGACTCAGATGAGGAAGAATTTCTTCACTCAAAGAGTTGTGAGCCTGTGGAATTCTCTCCCACAGGCAGCTGTTGGGGCCAGTTCATTAGATATATTCAAGAGGGAGCTGACGGGGCTCTTGTGGTTAAAGGGGTCAAGGGGTATGGGCAGAGGGCGGGAATGGGATACTGAGATTGCATCATCAACCATGATTGATTGAATAGTGACGCAGGCTTGATGGGCTGAATGGTCTACTCCTGCACCTATCGTCTATTTTTCTATGAATGGTACAGCAGGCTTGACGGCCAAACAGTCTACGCCTGTTCCTAATTCTTATGGCCTTGCTGACCCTCCGACGGTGCGGCGCTCCCTCAGCACTGACCCTCCGACGGCGCGGCGCTCCCTCAGCGCTGACCCTCCGACGGCGCGGCACTCCCTCAGCACTGACCCTCCGACGGCGCGGCACTCCCTCAGTACTGACCCTCCGACAGTGCGGCACTCCCTCAGCGCTGACCCTCCGACAGTGCGGCGCTCCCTCAGTATTGGTCTGAGTGTTAGCCTGGATTTGTTTTCAATTTTCTGTTCATACTTAAGTACCTTTATAGCTAAGATGGCACTGTGGTGTGGCGACTGTAAACTTTTCACTGTATTCATTTGAGTACATATGACAATAAAGGTAATTCAATTCAATTGATGACTCGACCTTCTGAATCAGTGGTGACTGAGAGCTACAGGAGAGTCTCACATGAAGGAATACAGCATAGCTGTCACATGGGCAGATGTGAAGCATATTAAAATGCTGCTAGTCCATTTCTTTCCTGCATCTTCTACGTATTAGTTGAAAGAAAATTGTAAACACAGTCTGTAAACTGAATAACAAACCATTTGCTTAGCGACAGAGATGTAGCAATAAACAGCATATTAAGTAGCAGCAGATTGTGTTATCGTGATTATAATTAGCAGCGAGCACTGTTCGTTTGCATAGAGCTCCCAGATTCAAGTGGATTAACCTTGGTTGGCAAATGGAAGGAAAGACAAGTGGCTAAAGTTGAACTTTGAGGTTGATCTCACGGGGCACACACTGGTCTGCAACTTTCCACAAACTGCAACACAGATTGCCTACTTTTTCTAGGATTAGAAACTCAAGAAATTAAATAATAATCTCCAGGGGACTGCTAGGAACAAATAAATCCAAGCTGAAAATTCTTTGGGGACTATTAAATCCATTACATGCTGCTTTGTTTGAGCACTTCAGTTTTATTTGTTGTGAAACATTTTGGGAAGGGCCAAGTTGGCTAATGACTGAGTAAAGAATTATAAATTGGCTCATCAAGAGAAGGTCTGCTTCTGAATTGGCTTCGGAAGACAAGAAGCATTAAGGATGGATATCTTGCATGGCCAATGATAGTTCAACAAGCCAGGTAACTGGAGGTCATGTCTCAAGGCATTCAGGATAGGTAATAAATACTGGCCAAAACAGATGCCAGGTGATCCAGCTAGTTTCATTTCTTTGAGACTTCGTAGTGATTGGTACAACTGAATGGCTTGCAGGGCCATTTCACAGGGCAATTGAGAGTCAACCACATTGCTGTGGGTCTGGAGTTACATGCAGGTCAGACCACGTGAGAATAGCAGATTTCCTTCCCTGAAGGACATTAGGGTTTTTCTAACAATTGACACTGGTTTCATGGCCATCAGTAGATTCCTAATTTTTTTTTCTTGAATTCAAATTCCACCATCTGCCATGGTGGATTTGAACCTAGGTCCCCAGAACATTAGCTAAGTTTCTGGATTAATCATTTAGTGATAAGACCATGAGGCCATCACTTCACCTCTTGCTAGCCTTCACAGAGATAGGATTCAAGTTCAGGAACAAGAATGTCATAGAATTATACAGCACAGAAACAGACCCTTTGGTCCAACTCAGCCGTGCTGACCAGATATCCTAAACCAATCTAGTCCCATTTGCCAGCATTTGGATCATATCCCTCTAAGCCCTTCCTATTTTAAATGTTGTAATTGTACCCACCTCTGCCATCTCCTCTGGCAGGTCATTCCATACATGCACCACCCTCCATGTGAAAAGGTTGCCCCTTAGGTCCCTTTTAAATTTTTCCCATCTCACCTTAAACTTATGCCCTCTAGTTTTGGACTTCCCAACCCTAGGAAAAAGACCTGTCTTGCTGCAACTATACAGGGCTTTGATGAGGCCATACCTGGAATATTACGTGCAGCTTTGGTTTCCTTACCTAGGAAAGTTGTTCTTGCTATAGATGAGTCAGTGAAAGGTTGTCAAATTGATTCCTGGGATGGCAGGACTGACATATGAGAAGAGACTGAGTTGGTTAGGATTTTAGTCAGTGGAGTTTAGAAGAATGAGGGGGAGGGGATCTCACAGAAACCTATAAAATTCTAACAGAACTAGACAAGGTAGATACAGGAAGGATTTTCCCGATGGCGGGGGAGTCCAGAACCAGGGCTACAGATTAAGGATAGGGGGTAAACATTTCAAGACTGAGATGCGGAGAAATTTCTTCGTCCAGAGAGTAATGAACCTGTGGAATTCCCTACACAGAAAGGGATTAAAGTCAAAATATTATGAGTTTTCAAGGAGGTAGATATAGGTCTAGTGGCTAAAGGGATGAAGGGATCAAGGGATATGGGAAGGCAGTAGTTGTAGGGTATTGAGCTTGATGATTAGCCATGATCGTATTGAATGGTGGAGCAGGCTTGACAGGTCGAATGGCCTACTCCTGCTCCTATTTTCCACGTTTCTATTTTCCTATGGTATGTACCACAAGAACTGACCACATGGGATGAGATCTTGACATCCGAGTCAAGCCATTGCCTCCCTCTGACCTCCAACACTGGGGATCTACAGACTGTCTCCCTGTGCCCTCTGGTACAGGGCCTGGAGGGTTTATAGTGAGGGGATGGGTCAGGGCTGGCTAACTAACTAATCATACACAGGGCAATTTGCAACTCAAGCTGCACATCAGGAGCTGGCAGGAAGTAGGAAATCAAATTCTGCTTGGCTGTGGATGGAGAATGTAACAACCCTGTTCGTAAAGGAGATTTCCCCTCAAATCCACAGTGCCAGAAGTGACTATCATCTCCAAGGTGAACTGTAGTGACTCAACAAGGCTCCTTTGACAGCATCTTCCAAATTCTTGGGCTGGATTGAGGCCATGAAAGGTGCTATGAAAATGAAGAGATAACACAGTGTGGAGTTTGAGGAGCACAGCAGGCCAGGCAGCATCAGAGGAGCTGGAAAGTTGACGTTTCGGGTTAGGACCCTTCTTCAGAAATGGAAGTGAGGCCTTGTTCATTCACATCTGTCTTCTTCACCCTTCATTATTAAGCATAATTCAGGGGTCTACCACAGACTCCAAAACTGATAGCAGTAACTTACAGTAAAAACATGCTTCTGGACAGTAATGAATAAAATTCAGTCCTGAGCCCCATAGGACAGGTGACCAGAGATTTTAAGATGCTCTCTAAGGAGAACAGACAGAGAGAGATGTGGAAAGATTTAGGAAGGGAATTTGAGAACTTAGGGCCCAGGCAGCGGAAGGCACGGCCATGAACAACAGAGAGATTAAAACTGGGAATGAATAGAAGCCAGAATTAGGAGGAGCACACAGATCACAGAAGGTTGTAGAGCTGGAGGAGATTATAGAGAGGTGGGGTGAAACCGTGAGGGACAATATCCTAATATTGCAAAAGACATCCTGGCCTTACCTTCACTTTCACTATCCGAGGAGTCAGTGTGTTCCTTCTCACTAACTGATCGTTCATCCTGAACATCTGAATTCTCACTTTGCTGTTCATCATCTGAGCTCCATGTCTTCTGCAGGTCTGCAGGTGACTTTCTCTCACCCTTCTGTTCCACCTCCTCATTTGTTTTCTCTCCCTCTTCACAATCATCATCATACTCTGACAAACAGATAAACATTTACAAGTGTTAAAATTTAATGGAAATACAGCACTAGAACCTTTCAAAATCCACTTTGCAAAAATAAAGCACAGTCTGTCAAACCATCAGATGCATTTTAACGTTATTCGGGGATTCCCAGGTCACGTTAGTATCACTTTAGATTTCCTGAGAAATGTTTCCCTGTGCCTCTTCTAATGAATTCCTTTAACATTTTAAACATCTTGACTAGATCCTGTTCAAGGCGTGTCATCGATCTGTGTTGGAACATCAATTACATCCCATCAGATATATTACAGTCAGATACATAGCCAGGCGCCCATGGTGTGCCGTGGGGATTTCGGTGGGAAGAATGTGGAGGAAGTAATTTAAAATATATAAACCAAATGGTAAAATTTTAAACCTTAACCACTTCATGTGGGAGCAGGTTCTACATTCTAACCACTCAGAGTCAGTCGCACTTCCGAATTGATTTTAAGAGGCCTTGAATACAAGAGCAGGGATGTACTGCTGAGGCTGTAAAAGGCTCTGGTCAGACTGCATTTGGAATATTGTGAGCAGTGTTGGGCCCTGTATCTAAGGAATGATGCGCTGGCCTTGAAGGGGGTTCAGCAAAGGTTCACAAGAATGATCCCGGGGTGAAGCGTGTGTCATATGAGGAGCGATTGAGGACTCTGGATCTGTACTCGATGGAGTTTGGGGGTGTGGGGTGGGGGGAGGGGAGCTGATTGAAACTTACAGGCCTGGATAGCATGGGTGTGGAGATGTTTCTACTAGCAGGAGAGACAAGGACCCAAGGGCACAGTCTCAGAGTGAAGGAACAACACTTTAGAATTGAGATGAGGTGGAATTTTTCAGCCATGAATGGTGAATCTGTGGAACTCATTGCTGCAGAGGGTTGTGGTGGCCAAGTCATTGAGTGTTTTTAAGAGGGAGATAGCTATATTCTTGATTGTTAAGTGTGTGGAGGATTACAGAAGAATGGGGTTGAGAAACCTATCGGCCATGATCGAACAGCAAGCAGACTCGATGGGCCAAATGGCCTAATTCTGCTCTTATATCTTATGGTCTTAGGGTTGGGCATTGTTTCCTTATTTCCCTATTGGATTTTAATTAATCATATATATGTCCATTCTCCTACAAGTGGAGCCATTTTCTCCACAACTACACTGTCCAACCCTGTTCACCATTTTAAAGAGTGTTTTCCAGTCCTTCTTATGTCCTCTTTGGTTGGAACTGGAAAGAACCTCAATCTTATTCTTCTTTCTTTATGGTTACAATCAAAAGAGCTGTACAGGGCATTGGGCTTTACAAAGAGAGGAAGGAATACAAATCAAGGAAGTTATGCTTTACTCATTAAAATCACTGCTTAGGTCCTCATTTGGACAATTATATCTACTCACTGTTCTTTAGGAAGGATGTCAAGAACTTGGACAGCGTTCCAGAAAATTTACTGGAATGGGAGCAGTGCTGAGGGACTTCAGTAAATGTGAACAGACTAAGAGGAAGTGGGATTGTTCTTCTTACAGCAGAGAAGGTTAGGTTGGATTTAATCAAGGTGTTCAAAATCATGAAGAGAAGGGCAGGAGGTCAATGACCAGAAGGACACAGATTGAAAGAAGTCGGTAAAAGACTGAGAGGGGGAGATGAGGATTTCTTTTTAAAACAAGTGAGTTGTTGGGACCTGGAACTTGCTGCCTAAAAGGGCAGTGGAAGCAGATTTAATAATAACTTTCAAAAGGGAATTGGAGAATACTGGAAATAGTGAAGTTTAGAGGCTTTGGGGAAAGGGTGGGGCATTAGATTAATTGGACAGCTCTTTAAAAGAACTGGCCCAGACACCATGGGCTGGTCCTTCTATGTGTTGGGAATGAAGAAGATCTTGTCTCTTTACAGCTCAGACTCTACAAGTTGGTTTTGAATGACTTGTTCATGTTGCAGTGTATCAGACTGTTAATTAACCCAAGAATCTTTCCATTAATTCATTCTGTTCGCTGGTGAAAAAGAATATCAAGACAAGTACATCATTGTGACTAACCCTCCTTGGAACTTCTGTCTTGGGTCCTAGTTGGTGAACTTCCACCTTCATCTTCATGCATTCTCTCCTCTTCATTCACTCTCTCCTCTTCAATTGAGGATTCCGCTGTCATTGCCTCTTCCTGACTAGTCTCCCCGCTGGCATTCGCTACAGTTAATTTCTCTTTGTCTTTTATCGGTTCCTGTTTTTCTTTCTCCATTTCCTTCATCACTTCTTCTTTCATCCGTTTCGGAGGTGGAGTGGGTTTCTTGTCCAAACCCATGGTGATGATACATCTGAAAGAAAAGATAAGACAGAGCAGACTGAGGTGGTTATCTGAAAGAAGAGATAAGACAGAGCAGACTGAGGTGGTTATCTGAAAGAAGAGATAAGACAGAGCAGACTGAGGTGGTTATCTGATAAAAGAGACAGGGCAGGGCAGACTGAGGTAGTTATCTGATAGAAGAGATAAGACAGAGCAGACTGAGGTGGTTCTCTGGGAAATACAAAAGCTTTTTGGGGGAAGAGAATTCCAAAATTCCACTTCCCTTTAGGGGAATGAGTGCTTCTTGACATCACCCCTAAACTGTTGGCTCTGATTTTAATATTCTGTCCCCTTTTTATGGACTCCCAAGAAATAGTTGCTTAAGAATTGTGGAAAAGGCTCATAATGAACACAAGTCAGGAGCAGCAGGGCTGGCCCCCTGAGTCAATAAGATCCTGATGGATTTAATCACTCCACATTCCTGTATACCTCTGATAATCTCTTTACCACTGGCCAGAATCTGTCCACCTCTGCCTTTAAAATTTTCAAAGATTCTGCTTTCATTGCCTTTTGGTGAAATGTTTTTATTTTGTTGGTGCAGACTCCATGGGCCTTTTCTGTACAGTATGACTCTACGTACAGCTCAAGGGGCTTCTTGTTAACCTTCTGGTCATAATACACTTTAATTAGGTGTACAATTTATGCAGCAGCTTTTCTTTAGCTGGATGGGGCTGGCTGTTCATTCACAAAATGACCACTGTGTACACATGTATCACAACTGGGACTACACTTCAAAGTGATCCATTTCTGAAAACATTATAGCTTGTGATGTCCTGCCCAGCGCCTGTCAGTGCAGTGGGATTGGGGAGTATGCGTTACCGAGATGGGATTTTGCCTACCTGTAACATGGGGATGCTCCGTCCACATCCAGAAAAGCAAAGTAAGCCTGCTTGCCGCCAAGCCGAGAGCCCTTGCGGTGCTTATATTCGCAGCAGGAGCTTAGGCGATTCACCTGGATGCCATTGAGGAAGAAGGTGAGGCTGAAGGGGAAACCCGAGTGTCGGCGGGATACAAACTGGAATTTCTCTGGAAAGCAACAACGAAGATGACGTTTTAAGAACATTCACACAGCTACTGCTGCATAAAACAGAACATCTAACAGATTTTAATAGAATAACAGTGGACCTGAGCAACAGAAGGAGGACATTCAGCGCACTGAGCCTGTTCCAACATTCGTAGGAGTCTTTTCTCACAAAAGAAAAAGAGAACAATAACCGCCTACCCTTCCTAAACATAATGTTAGAACATAAGAACAACGGGGAACTCCAGACAAGCATACACAGAAAGACAATACATATGGACCAGATACTTAATTACACCAGCCAGCACCCCAAAACCCATAAACAGAGCTGCATCAGGACAATATTCAAATGAACCACAATACACTGCAGCAACCTGGAATTTTGCAAAGCAAAGTTGGAGGGTTTGAGCTACAGGGAAAGGCTGGGGCTATTTTCCCTGGAGCATCAGAGGCTGAGGGGTGACCTCACAGAGGTTCATAAAATCAAGAGGGGCATGGATAGGATGAATAGGCAAGTCTTTTCCCCAGGGCGGGGAGTCCAAAACTAGAGGGCATGGGTTTACGGTGAGAGGAGAAAGATACAAAAGGGATGTAAGGGGCAGCATTTTCACGCAGCGGGCGTTGTGTGTATGGAATGAGCTGCCAGGGGAAATGGTGGAGGCTGGTATGATTACAACTTTTGAAAGGCATCTGCATGGGTACACAAATAGGAAAGGTTTAGAGGGATATGGGCCAAATGCTGGCAAATGGGACTAGATTTATATAGGACATCTGATCGGCCTGGACGAGTTGGACTGAAGAGTCTGTTTCCATGCTGCACATTCTCTATGACTCTAAAAAACAGGAGCACTTATATGAAGTTTTCAAAAGGAATGGATCTCCAAAAAATTCATTTGCCGTTAACTCCGCGACAGACCACAACAAGAAGGTACAACACACCAGACACACTAGTCACCTTATCGTACATCAGAGACATTTCAGACATGACCACAAGACTACTCAGACCCCTAGGTATCAGAGTAGCCCACAAACCAACAACCACCCAATGACAGCTACTGATGAACGTAAAGGATCCCATACCCACAACCAATAAAACTGATGTAATATACAAAATACCATGAAAGGACTGCAAAAAATATTACATAGGCCAAACTGGAAGAAAACTGACAATAAAGATACAGGAACACCAACTAGCCACCAAGAGACACGACCAATTCTCACTGGTTTCAATATACAGACAAAGGAGGACACGGGTTCGCTTGGGACAAACACATCCATAATAGCATGAGCCAAACAGAGACATGCCAGGGAATTCCTGAAGGCCTGGCATTCCAACAGGAACTCCATCAACAAACACATTGAATTGGACTTGATATACAAACCACTGAAAAACAGAACTGGAAGTAAAGCCGACCACCCCAGCAAACCAAGGCATAAAAATAACAAGCGGGACAGAATACCAACGCTTCACCTAGCTGTTACCTAGCAGGGTGACGAAACGTCTGCAATCAAACCCACCGGCTTGGTGAGCAAATCTACAACCTCATCCACAACCCGAGCTATAAATCTTCTCAAAAACTTTAAATTCTGGAAAAGTCTACACTATATCCTTGTGCTTTCAAGGATAACTCATTGGGCAAAAGGTTTTTCCTCTGAAAGCCAATCTTTGCAGGGCAATCAATTTTTTGTTCATTTTCCTGAAGCAAGTGTGTATGCATGCCTTAATAATAAGCATTTATACTTCCATATTACCGACTGTGCACATTAACCAATTCTTGAAACTTTATTTAATAAGCTTTTTCTCATTATCAACACAATTGTGTTTATGAAGAAGACTGGTTGATAGATTTATTTTGTTTAAAATCTGATATAGGCAAGGTACTTAATTGGTCATCTTGGTAACTAGATAGAAGTATTTTTGTTTTACATTGTGTGCTGTGAATAATGGGACTGCAGAAAAGTGCACCCTTTCTGCTTTGGTTGTAATAAAGGCCTTGACTAAAACTGTTTATGCAGAATTTTCCTTTGCCCAGCTTCAACATTGAAAAAAAAATGAAGACACGTGATGGAAGGATTTTTTTTCTAATTTCACCTGCTTCTAGAAGCTTCCCTTTGTAGACGCACAGGTTTTCACCGCCGCAGTGCTGCTGATGAACTTTGACCTCATCCCTGGCCTCTGCCTGGTCATATGAGAGATGTAGATGTTTCCCACGGTAAACCATCGTGACCAAGACATTGCTGTGTGTGACAGCTCGGTGTGACTTTGCAATTTCCTACAATAATAAATAGGATTTAAACAGCAGAATGAAGACTGGCAGTAATGGCGCTGCCAATCAGTTACAGTGGTACCTAATGGCTTTAACTTAATCAGGAATCACAGCAAAAGTCTCCCAAGAGTAAGACTGGGGGTTGTCAGATTGCCATAAAAAGCCAACTAGTTAACTAATGCCCTTTAGGGGAGCAACCTCATTAGCTATAAAGCACTTTGCAACATCCTGAGGTCATGAGAGGAAAAAAAGGAAATAGACGTTTGATGAGGTTAATGCTGTTCATGTGATGTATATGAACCTCCAAGAGGTATTTGATAACGTACTGAATGATAAGACTTGTGAGAAAACTTACAGCTCATGGAACAAAAGGGACATTAGGAAAATCGATTTCAATTGGTTGGTGGTGAGAAACAGAGAGTGGTTTAACAGTGATTAATGGATATTTCTCAGAATGCAGGACAGTTTGTAGTAGAGTTTCCCAGGGGTCAATGTATTTTCTCTGATGTATTTTAATGACCTAGACATTGGTGTACAGGCCACAATTTCTACATCTGTGAATTATATGAATTTTGAAACATTGTGAATTACGAGGAGATCCGTGCAGAACTTCACGAGAACGTGCAATGGGTGAGTAGGTGGCAGATGAAGTTCAATGCAGGGAAGTGAGAGATGCTACATTTCGAAAGGAAGAACCTGGACAAATCAATGCAAAACAGGGATACAATTGTACAGGAGGTGCCATATTTGAGGGATCTGGGCATTTATGTATATATATCATTTACAGTGGCAGGAGAGTTTGAGAAGACTGTTAATAAAGCATACAGCATCCATTATTAATAGGGGCACAGAGCACAAGAGCAAGGAAGTATGTAAAACTTGTATGAAATCATAGTTTGGCCTCAACTGAGTATTGTGTCCACTTCTATGGTAGCACTTTCTAAAGGATGTGGAAGCAATTGAAAGAAGGCAGAAAAGATTTTATGATGATATACCCAGGAATAAGGAACTTCAGTATAAAGATCGAATAGCAAAGTTGAGTTTTTTCCTTTAAGGAGTTGAGAAGGGATTTGATGAAGGTATTCAAAGTAGTGAAGGGTCCAGGGTGAAAGGCTTGAGACCAAAACGACGCTGATTTAACAGTATCTGGCAAAAGAAGCAATAGTGATACAAGGAGAAACATTTTCACACAGCAAGTGGCTTGGTAAGGAATGCATAGCCTGGAAATGTTGCAGAGAAAGATTCAAATAAGACACGCAAGAGGGCATTTGATGATGGAGTCATACAACACGGAAACAGAATCTTCAATCCTACTCGTCCATGCCAACCAAGTTTCCCAAACTAAACTAGTCTCATTTGCCTGTATCTGGCCTATATCACTCTAAACCTTTCCTACTCATGTACCTGTTTAAATGTCTTTTAAACTTGTAACTGTACGTGCATCCAACACTTCTTCTTGCAGCTCATTACACATATGAAACACACTCTGTGTGAAAAGGCTGCCCCTCATGTCTCTTTCAAATCTTTCTCTTCACACCTTAAAATTATGCCCTCTAGTTTTGAACTACCCTAGGGAAAAAACCTTTGCTGCTCACCTTAACTGTGCCCCCTCATGATTTTATAAACCTTGATAAGGTCACCCCTCAAACTCTTACTCTGTAGTGAAAAAAGTCCCAGCCTATCCAGCCTCTCCCTATAATTCAAACCCTTCAGTCCTAGTAATATCCTTGTAAAAGCTAGGGCTTTTCTCTTTTGAATGACGAAGGATGAGAGGTGACTTGATAGAGGTGTACAAAATGATCAGAGGTATAGATAGAGTGGACGGCCAGAGACTTTTTCCTAGGGTAGAGGTAGCTATTATGAGGGGTCATAGTTTTAAAGGGAGAGGAGGTAGATATGGGGAGACGTCAGAGGTAGGTTCTTTACTCAGAGAGTGGTAGGGGCATGAAATGCATTGCTGGAGAGGGTAGTGGAGTTGGCCTCATTAGGGGCATTTAACCAACTATTAGATAGGCATATGGATGATAGTATAAGGTAGCGGTGGAGGTTAGATAGACCTTAGGTTTAGGGTAAACGTTCGGCACAACATGGTGGGCCGAAGGGCCTGTAACTGTGCTGTACTGTTCTATGTTCTAAATCTTTTCTGCGCCCTCTCCAATCTAGAATATCCTTCCTATAGCAGAGCGACTAGAACTGTACATAGTGCTCCAAAAGTGGCTTCACCAACATTCTGTACAACTGCAACACGACATCCCAACTCCTACACTCAATGGTCTCAGCAATGAAGAAAAGCGTGCTTAAACGCCTTCTTCACCACCCTGTCTATCTGTGATGCCACTTTCAAGGAACTATGTACCTGAACTCCGAGGTCTCTCTGTTGGACAACACTCCTCAGGGCCCTACCATTAACTGTGTCAGTCTTGTCCTGATTTGTCTTACCAAGATTCAACATCTCACATGTACCTAAATTAAACTCCATCTGCCACTCCTTGGCCCATTGACCCAATCGACCAAGATCCTTTTGTATCTGTCCACTATACTAATTTTGGTGTCATCTGCCAACTTACTAACCATTCTTCCGATATTCTTATCCAAATTGTTTTGTTTATTGAAATAAAAAAAAATTTTCAAGGTTACAGGTGAAGACAGGGGAATGGAACAGAATACTGGCTTTCTTTCAGAAAGCTGGTGCAGGTATGAAAGGCAGAGGGGCCTCCTTCTGCACTGTAACAATTCTGTGATTTCATGACAATTTCAAATCTGCCACTTATTTTTCTTTCATATAATCTACAGCAGAGGACGTAATCTTAGGGATGAAGGGCTCATCATGTGAGGAATGGTTGAGGACTCTGCCTCTGTACTTGATGGATTTTAGAAGGATGAGGGGGCCTCTAATTGAAACTTACAGAATACTGTTAGGTCTTGTTAGAGTGGATGTGGAGAAGATGTTTCCACTGGTAGGAGACACTAGGACCCAAGAGCATAGCCTCAGAGTGAAGGGGTTACCTTTTAGATCTGCGATGAGGAGTTATCAGAGCAGCATGGTGGCCCAGTGATTAGCACCACTGCCTCATCACGCCAATGACCCGGTTAAAATTCTAACCTTGGGTCGTGTTTGTACATTCTCCCATGTCTGCATGGATACCTACTTGGTGCTCCCATTTCCTCCAAAGTCCGAAGGCGTGCAGGTTGGATGGATCAGCCATGGCAAATGCAGGATTAGGGGGATATGGTGGATCTGGATGGGATGCTTTTCAGACAGTCATTGTCATACAGTCTTGCAGTACGGAAACAGACCCTTCGACCCAACCAGCCCATGCCGAACATAATCCAAAACTAAACTAGTCCCACCTGCCTGCTCCTGGCCCATATCACTCCAACATTTCCTATTCACGTGCTTATCCAAATGTCTTTTAAACACTGTAATTGTACCCGTATCCACCATTTCCTCAGGAAGTTCATTCTACATGCGAACCAGCCTCTGTGTAAAAAAACTGGTGCAGACTCGATGGGCCAAATGGCCTCTTTCTGAAGAAAGTGGCTGCTTAATCTGTGAAATGCATTGCCGTAGATGGTTGTGGAGGCCAAATCATTGAATGCATTTAAGACAGAGATAAATAGGGTCTTGATTATTAAAGGGATCAAAGGTTATGGGGAGAAAGTAGGAGAATAGGGTTGAGGAACTTATCAGCCATGCTTGAATGGCGGAGCACCACAATGGACCGAATGACCTAATTTCTGCTCCTATGTTTTATGATCAAATGGTGGAACAGGCTCAGTGAGTGGAATGGCCTAATTCTGCTCCTATATCTTTGGCCCATGTGAACATGAGTATTTCTCAGTTGTGGAGAATGAGTTTTGAGGATAAATCAGCTTGCTGAGTATGAAGGGATTTGGCATGGAGGAGGGATAGAATTATAAAACCCTACAGTGTGGAAGCAGGCTATTTGGCACATTGAGCCTGCAACAGCCCTTCAAAGTGCATCCTACCCTGACCCACTACACCCCCTACCCTATCCCTATAACCCTGCATTTCTCATGGCTGATTTACCTAACTTACGCATTCCTGGACATGATGGGCAATTTAACATGACCAATCCACCCAACCTGGCTAGCAGTGCTTTCAAAGCATTTTCCCATTGTGGCCCTTTTGTGAGGCTTGAAAATTATTGCGACCCCTCAGTAAGAGTGGAGGGGAAAATGGGCAGAATGTGGAAGGGGGAGCCACCCTGACTTGTGGGAAACCAAAAATATAAGCTAATTACTCCTAAATCCAATGTAGAACTCAGGAGAGTTCTAGCCATTGACAGTGAGGAGAACATGGAATGTGCTCCCAAAGGGAGTGGTCAAGGTGCATAATCAGTACATTTAAGGGTAAGCAGTATAGAGAAAGACACAGAACATGGTCATGGGGTGACATCTAGGTGGGGGGGGGGGGGGGGGAGGGAAGGAGTGTCTTCATGTGGGACAGAAGCACCAGAAAGGAGCCATTAGGCCGAATGACCTGATCCTCTGCAGTGCATTCTGTACAATCAGTATTCTTTTCTTACCTTTGCTGGCAGGTTGGCTGGGCCATTCGGAGCGGTGGTCGGCCGCAATCTCCTGCCCCTCAAACATCCATTCTTCTCTCGTTTGCGCGGTGTTGGTGGGACGGGGGTTACATAGTTATTGATCACTGGGAGACGGTAGGGAGACATCCCAGTGGGAAAATCCAACGTGTGCCAATTCCTGATCAAGTCTTGGTCCGGCTACCAGGAAAAGAAAATTATGCAGCAAATCACAACCGGAACAACTCCCCTTCATTCAGACCATCTGACAATTGTTTTTGCTCACTGTTAATCCACTAAACTCAAAAACATAGCAAACCATGCAGAGGGTAGGAATAAAATTCAGGAGGATGTCAACAGGTTGGTGAAAATTGTCAAGGACATGACAGATATCGTTTAACAGGGAGAAATGTTAATTGTTACATTAAGGGAAAATGATGAATTAGCAACATAAAACAAATGGCACAACTTTAACATGGTCCAGAAACCGAGACAGTCAAGGCATAAAAATGAATGAGGCTATTAAAAAATATGCAGGATCGATAGGGCCAGATAATACATCAGCAAGGAAATTATGTCAAAACATTAAAAATCACTCAAGCAGTTCCAGCTGGAGGACGATGTGCAATCCTGGGCCCCGCTCATTAGGAAGGATGTCAGGGGCTTGGAGAGGATGTGGAGGAAATTTAATGGAATGAGAACAGGGATAGGGGACTTCAGTGAATGTGGACAGACTGGAGAAGCTGGGATTGTTCTCCTTAGAGCAGAGGTCAAAGAAAGTCTTGTACTTCCATAACACCTTCACATCTCAGGACTAATTTAAAGCTAATTTAAAGTGCTGTCATTGCTCTAACATAAGAATTACAGCAACTAATTTTGTTTAGTGCTCCCTCAGTACTGACCCTCTGACAGTGCGGCACTCCCTCAGTACTGACCCTCTCACAGTGCGGCGCTCCCTCAGCACTGACCCTCCGACAGTGCGGCACTCCCTCAGCACTCCCTCTGTACTGACCCTCCGACAGCGCGGCACTCCCTCTGTACTGACCCTCCGACAGTGCAGCACTCCCTCAGCACTGACCCTCTGACAGCGCGGCACTCCCTCAGCACTGACCATCTGACAGTGCGGCACTCCCTCAGCA